CCCCAAAACCCCAAAACCCCAAAACCCCAAAACCCCACGTTAATATAAATAAATTGAGTATCTCTCACCATGAATCCCAGCTCCATTACTTCCAAGTACGCTGCTGCTTCTTTGCAAGGTCCTCGCCAAGGTAGGTCCCACTGATCTTCACTGGCTGCTCTCCCTTGTAACACAAGGGAGAGCCCCTGGGTAGGATTTTAGCCATAGACTTGGACTTGAAGCCAAGTTGGGTCAAGGTAGATAGGGTTTTGGGAAAATTGAGCAACGACTATGGTCAGATGTGAATTGGGGAGATCTGTTCGAACCTTGTTGAAGTTTGATGGGTTAGTAGCATAGGAAAATGATTTATATTCATTTATAAATAACATACACACCAAGAAGGATCAAATTGTCTTATAAATCTCTTAAAAACTCTTTAATGACAAAACCCAAAATTTTCAACTTTCACCCTCTTCTAGCCAAAACCAAGCTCCAATCCTCCAGCTCAGCCCAAACAACTCTTGGTCCTCCTAACCCTTTAAAGACAAGCCATACTCCTTCTCCCATACCTCACCAGTCCTCTGCTGCCTTCACTATAAATAAGTACGTCCCTATATCACCAACACCATCTTCCCTTATCCCAACAAGCGACCCATAGTCCCATTATCCTTTCCAACTCTCTTATCCAAACTACCCCAGTTTAAACCAATCTATCTCTCCTCTTCCTCGTATCTTAGCCAATTGGCAGTATTTAAAAGTTTGAATGAACAAATTGTTAGTCCCAACCCCTTGACCTTCCAGCCCCCTTCACCCCATCCCTGCACTCCCTCCAAGCTCCCTTCCACACCCCCCAAAGGCCGAAGACAAAGCATTCCCAATGCAACGCCCAGTGAAGCTCTTGAAGAATCTCCAGCCAAGAAGAAGAGAGAGTCCTTCGCTGGGAATTTAGACAATGAACAGTTGAAAATGGTAAGTCTCAGTGGGAAATAGAGGAATTTGTACGGGGAATTTGGAATTGGATGACTGGGTTTTGAGGGTTTAGTGGGAAGAGAGATAGTCAGAGGGGGTTGGGAGCATAGTGAGGAGGTGGATTAGGGCAGGTTGGGGAGAGATTTATGATGGTTTAGGTGCACCCAACTTTCTTGGGAATTTCAACTAATGATAAGTCAGGCAGAAAGGAGGTGTTTGTGAGTGATAGTTCGAGAAATCTCGACCAAGGTAGGTACTTTTGAGAATAGTTGTAGATATGGTGATCTCTCAACTGTTCTTTAAGCATAAGTAGAATTGAAAGAGTTGAGTATAAAGAGATAGTGAAAATGTTTCAAAATTTGGGAATTTTACCAAGAATAATCAAAAATGAGGACCTGAAGAGCATCTTTGATACTCTTGTTGAGCCAAGAAAGAAGAAATTAGCGCTTGGTTTGAAGAGGTTTACGAAATTGTTTCGAAAGGTTGCTGAAAGGTGTATGAAGCAAAAAGGATCCAAGGCAGTTCAAAATTTTGTTGATTTAATCAGTGATAAATTTAAAGATAAATATTTTGGTATGCGCAACACTAATTGGTGTGTTATGAACCTCAAACATTCTAAGAAACTAAGGGAGAAGTTGAAAACTTGCGAGACGAGTAAACTTCATCATAAATAGCACAAGAGAATTGCGGAAATATCTGAATGCTCAGTCTCCGATGAAGGATGAAAAATCCAAGCTGAGCAAGTCAGGATTTGTTAGCAATATTTCAACATCAAGGAAGAGTTTAGAACCCCATGTTCCAAATTATCCTCTGTAAGTCATCGCTTTCAATGGGTTTGTAATATTCCAGAAATCCTTGTTTGCTTAGACTCTTACACTTACTTTTTAGGGGAGAACCATTAAGACAACTAAAATCTTCAAGGAATTCCAAAATTGATATCCTTGCTTTCTCTCCGAATATAGTAGTTCCTCCAAAGCTCACTGGGAAGGAGAAGTCTAGGAGCCACCACAGCTCCACTCTAAACAGTCATACTCGGAAAGGGCTACATCCCAAGCCAGTCACAATTTAGAACCCGTAGGCAACCCAATATTTTCCCTATAAAATACCATACAATAAATAGCTTTAGGTGGTTCAGATATTTCCAGAGTCAAAATCTCCGTTTTCTGAACTCTATTTTTCCACTTAACTAAACCCATGATTTTAAGTATTCTTAGTCATGCTAGCACTGCGATTTTCAATGAATACTCTAATAACTTAAGCTACACTCCATTTTAAGATTAAAGAGACCCATTTGGTGTGTGGGAGTCCTGTCTGGGCATTGACTAATGCGATGGGAAGTTAGACTAAGCTATAGTGGAATTTAACATATACGATGATAAGGCGGAAAAAACTTTTAACAACCAGAAGAAGATCAGCAGAGGTAAGCCTATTGGAAGTTTTGGGTTCAATGATTGGTGATTGGTGAACTCCAAATAAAATTTTGGAATAGGCAAAGTTACAAAAAGGATGATCCAAAAGTACATGAAAGAGAAAGATGTTCCAATAGCTAACTTACAGGAGGAAGAAGAGGTATTGTCATTGGTTATAAGTTAGAAGCACCAATTGGATAGCAACCCAGCTCAGATTTTAGTTAAGAAGTATGAGTTTAGTAGAATGCAGTGTAAGGGAATTTTGTGAGTTACATAGCACTCAAAACTCCAAATAATCAAGATCTGATGACACCAAAGAAAGCTATTGGAGAAAGTAGTAATACTTGAAGGCGGACTCGACAAGATAGAAATGCTACTAACTCTAAATTGTATCATCTTTGTTACTAACAATCCAGAAAGCAATATGAGCAGGATACAAAAATAGCAGAACCAGACCAAAAATTACCCTATCAGCCAGCCCAAAATATGCCAGAAAAGCGAAGATGTAAGCCTCTATCCAACCTGTAGACCAGAGCTGTACCCCAAAAATCGCCCAAGACCAAAAACTTCTATACCAGAGCTGCTTTCTCAAGATCCGGAACGCTTTCGAACGCTTCAAACAGACCACTGAGAGGACAAATTCCAACCCTCAGCACACCTCTACCCCCACTGCTCCTCCCGTACTCCCCTTCCTCACCTCTATAGCTTCCTAAAGCCCCCATTCCTCCTTCTGGGCCGACCCCTTCGTCCACTTCAAGCATCAGAAAGCACGCTTATCTGCTAGGCTTGGTCCAGATCGCAGTCAAGCCTAAGATTAAGAGTCAGTTAAAATTAGGTTTTCAAGCGCTGAAGGGGCATTTTCAATAAGATTTTGAAGGAATGGGGTTTTGGGGTTTTGGGGTTTTGGGGTTTTGGGGTTTTGGG